CACAGAAAGCACACTGGCCAAGCAATGGCCATGACTCATCCACATGGCTGACACTGACAAAGGATCTACAATCTGAGGTACAGGATCTCAGGATAAATCCCGAGGGGATTTCACTGACCTTATCAGACTCAAAAGCTACAACTCTTGTTGCATAGGTCCTGCTTTACCTTGGTCTTAACCATCCAGCAGCAAAGTATAAAAATGAAGCATAAGAAGTAAAGCCATGCTGTTATGTTGAGCTGTAAGGACTCAGGTCAACAATTTCTTTTTGCTCTGAATGCCTTCAGGGCAGGTTTGGCTGGCTTGAGTTGTGGGGATCGAACCACAGCAACCTGAGCCTCACTGTTTTGTTGAAGCAGCCACTTAAAGAACTGAGCTACGGGGCAGGTTCCCAGAGTCAACAATTTCTGACACTGCCAGTGAAGCGGAAGACCCAATACTATTATGGACTACTGGACTCTTTTAGAATATTTTGCTGAGTTAATACACCTATAATATTCAAATAACGGAACAAAGAAAGGGGATACAGATGAATGTCAATTTTGTATCTGTATATTCAAAATGGTTAGGATATATAGTTACATTCTCAATGAATAGAAAGATTTGTTCTAATAGTGTTTGTAAATAGGATATCATGTCCGCATCTTGTACAGCAATTAACCACTAGGACGAATGTATGCAATGTGTTAATTATTGAAACTGTCCTACCAATTGGTTTGAAACTGTCTCATTGCTATTTGTTTCTCAATAAAATTATGGAAAAAAAATAAATGAGTAAGTAAATAAAGATTAACACAAACAAAAAAAAAAAAAGATAGGGTCTATGTAACGCAGGCTGGCCTTGAACTCTCCGCCATCCTCCTGCCTCAGCCTCCAGAATGCTGGGATTACCGGCATGTGCCACCATGCCCAATCAGAAATGAATTCTTTGGGGCCGGGGAGATGCCTCAGTGGAATAAGCACTTCCCTGGCAAGCGCAAGGGCCCGAGTTCAATCCCCAGTTCCGCAAACAAAACAAAACAAAACCAATAATCCAAAATGTACTACTTTGGGAGAACAGTCAGTGACATCTAGCATTTGTCGTGTGTTCTGACAGGGTCTGTGTAGTTCAGGCTGGCCTTAAATTACTTAGCTCAAGTTTGCCTTGAACTCGTTGATCCTCCTGTTTGAGTCTCCTAAGTGCTCACTTCTATACATAATTTGCTCTATTTTTCAAACCTATCCTGAGGCAGATGGCATTAGCTTCACTTACACTTGGGGAAAGTAAAGTCCACAGGAGTTGAAGAACTTGCTTGAGGTCACAAATCTGACAAGTGACAGCCATAATCTGATCTCAGATCTGCTTGCTCTAGTATACCACACAGCCAGTTACCTTCTCACAGGGACACAATACAGATGAGGTATTTTAATTCCTTGCTCCTAAGTCTCTCTTGCTTCTTAGTAATGCAATATTGTGTTCCATCTTTTTCCTTCACACACAGAAAAATATCTGCCACACCCTCTCCTAGACAGAAAGACCCACAGCTGGTTGTGAAATTTTTGTTATAAAACATTTAATGTTAACCTACAATACAATGTAAACCTTTATGAAAAAAATTAAGTACACTAGATTTCTTCAGGAAATTATCATGTAACTATTCAGGTGCAGTACAAGTTGGGGCACTGCATCCTTTGTGGATGGATTTTCCGTTGCTGCATTCCTCAGAAGTCCTAAAAAAAAAAAACACAACAACAACAACAAACAAAAAAAAATCTTTTAAGATGGAGCCCCTTGTTCAAGCACCAGGTGATAACACTCCCCTGATTTTGCATCCTGGGGTTATCACTCCTTCTCAGTCATTTCCTGAAACTGTTTTGTGGGCCTTGGCACCATTAGCAATTTTCATAATAACTGCTCAGTTGAAGATTCTAGATTCTTAGTTTTTAAGAGATACTCTCCTCCAGCCACCTCTTCTATCTCCTGATGGAGGCAAACAAAGAGAAAGAATTATTTCCTGCAGGACATTCTGCAGAAGTGAAAGAAAAAACCAGAAAGGTCCCACTGAGGCTGCAAAAATTCAATTACCCCAACTGGGTATCTCTGCTTGGTCATTTCCCATGATTATTAGGCTGACTCTACGACGGCAGTTTGGGGAGTGCAGAACAAAACTCAAAACAAGTGTTTTTGTTGATGACTTGCCATCTGGAAACAGCTGAAGTATCTCTGAGGCGATGTGGAAACAAAAGTGAATGCTTGCAGACTCCCGGCTTCTCAGCATCTTTTTCTTCTCCCTTACAGGTCCCATTGAGCTCCTAGAAGTCCTTAGGAGTAACAGATTGTACTGGCATTCAGTGACAAACGCTCAGCCTATGTTACACCTAGGAGGAAGGAAATGGCACCCAGGCAGCAGCACTAGGGGCAACAATGAGACAAGCAAGGATCTAGGTAAAGCAGTTTATTTTAAAAGGGACTGGAGAGACACGTGTGCTTCAGCTGAAGCCCCTTGAAAAGCAGATTGGCAAGCTGTCCCAAGAGCTGTACTGACAAAGGACCTTGTCTTAATAGTCCTGCATCTGACCTCTTTGCTGCAAACAGGCATCAAAAGGCAAGAAGTGTAAAGTGCACATTATAGAACAAGACTGAGTTATGAAGTGGGGAAAAAGCACAATGTCCTCAAGGATGCCTGGGCAAAACAGTGAGTGTGCCCAGACTGCCAAAGGTCCTTCACGCACTCCTGTACGTGCTGCCAGGGAAATAACTGTGAACTACAGATGGGGAGGCTGAAGGGAAACATTCTTCCTTGCGTGGTAGTCATTTAGGGTTGAGTGGGTAACATGGTTTATGTGGTGTTCATTTGACACATTTTGTGACAACAGTGAGGTATGACTTTCCACCCAGTTGGCCTTGGGACAGCAGAGAACCAAGAACCATATGTAGTCCAGTACAGCACTAACTTTTCCTAGGGACAGTGTTGTGAACCACTGGGAAATTCTCAAGCTCCCAAGGTGCCTCCTGCCACATGGATCTACCTGGCAACAACTGAGGCCACAGAGAACAGTGAGTATATTACTGCTACCAGAGTGGTATTTAGGTTTTAAATAGGAGAAAGCCTCTGTAGATGACAAATTTAGCAAGTTATGCTGTATCTTCACTTGAATCCCCTTACCTTCACAGCATGCTAGCAACTACAGTGATTTCCAGAGGCTGCAGAATGTGAGCCTTGTGCCAGTCTAACTGTGGGACTCTCTGGAATACTTGTAAGCATACACTGGTATCTGTTAATACATGACCTGACCCATGTACATATCACCATAACTCAACCACAGACCAGACATTGAGATGAAAAAAAAAAAAAAAAAATAACCTATTAAAAAAAAAAAAAAAAAAAGAACATCTTATTACTTCAAAACAACAGGGCGGGAGAAAACAATGCTTCTGACAGATTGTTACGTTAAAAAGTGAAATGTGACCATCTTGTTTCCCTTCAAAGGTTCTGATTTTTTTCCATTCTTAAAACACAGTGACTGAGACAGGCAAAGAAGCCATCCTTAGATGGTTCTGCTGGCCCCACTGCTGGTCCTACTTGCACTTTGCAAAGGCAGCAAGCGTGGCAGTTGAGGGAAAGCTGCACAGCATGCACATGTCAGAAGAGGAATGAAGAACTGCTGTCCTTTCGTTCAAACCCCTTCACCGCCACCTGGTACAGTTCCAAGGAAAACTGCAGCTGTGTGTAAAGGTGGGTGTCCACCACATATATAAGTATAATCTGTGTACATAGCCTTTCAGAGGCTACAAACTCAGATTTCCTTCTACTGGTCCAAGTGGGGTACACTGGGGTAAGAAAAGACAGCAAAGATTGGACCAAGATAACCTCTCTGGAACAGGAGAGGCGCAATGGCAGAAATCAGCACAAACCAGCCTGGGCACCTTTATTACACTACTGTGGGCCAAAGAGCCCATGGCATAAACTCATGGGTTTAGGAATTGGCTCTTTATGAGATAAAGTTAAGGGAAAAAAAATACATCTATGTCAGCCTCATTCCTTTGGTCATTTCAAAGCAACAGAAACAAAATTATTCATAGGGCAGTTCAAGGAACATCTCTATTCTGTGCTTTCTCTTCCCCCTCTTTTTAAAAGGTGGAAGGAGGAAGTCTTCAGGAGATGCTGTTGTAGCTGGTTGATGGAGGTTTTTCACTTTTATTTTCCATAAAAGTAAGAATGAATAAAACTAGTGGGAATGTCCCCTACCCCAGCTGGAACAGTGGATACGCTGGAGGTGAAGTCTCCGTCCGCTGGAAGGCGCGTGGCAAGGAGGTGGAGCGGGTACTTTCATTGCTAGCCTTGAACGCACACAGGTCGTCACTCTTGCAGGCAGCATGGTTTCTGATCCTTCCTTAGGATGCAGCAGTCTTTTAAAAAAAATATTGTATTATAATAATAATATGAATATCTCTCTTTTTTGTTTTCTGTTTTTGTTTTTTCCATCTCTTTTAGGGATTGGGGTGTGGGAGGGGAGAAGAAGAAAAAGTGTCATTCGTCTGTTAGGTCCTGAACAAAGAGAACTTCTGTGTGGCTGAGTCCTGCCTCCTGTAGCGTAGGGGGGTTGGGCCATTCCTCTGAGGGAACACAGGGCAGTACCCGCCGGGGAAAGTTGGCTTCAATCTGAAACTTTTCAGGACTTTCCTTCAAGGAGAATAAGAAGTCGTGGATTACCTGAAGAGGTCACACAGAAAAAGAATGGCAATGAGCAAAGATAATACACATATACCATTATAAGACAAATGTGGCCAGGTGTGGTGGCACACGCCTATAATCCCTGCACTCAGGAGGCTGAGGCAGGAGCACCCTTGCAAGTTTGAGACCAGCCTGGGCTACAAAGTGAGCCCAAAGCCAGCCTGAGCTGCATAGTGAGACCCTATTTCATTAAAGGGGGGGGGGGGGAAGAAGACAAATGTGCTCTAACTCTCCCCAGGATGACTGTGAGACCTGAAGCAGTCACAGAACCCTGGAATTCTACCTCAACTGTTTTCATTTGCCAGGACAAATACAGTACATGAGGCAGTCCCATTAAAGAAATTACATCAGCCCAACACTAGTTCTACTCTGAACTGACTCATCTGTTTCTTCTTTGATTTCCTCTCTGATATGAAACTAGTTCTTTTTCTTAGAAATAATCACAGATTGTGCTTGCTTCGGCAGCACATATACTAAAATTGAAATAATCACAGCTAGTAAGCAGGCTGGGGAGATGGCTCAGTAGAATAAGCGCTTGCCTGGCAAGCGAAAGGGCCTGAGTTCAATCCCTGGTTCCGCAAAAAAAAAAAAAAAAGAAAAAAAATCACAGCTGGATACGGTGGTGCATACCTATCATCCCAGTACTCAGGAGGCTGAGACTAAGGCAGGATCATGCAATGAGTTCAACAGCCGTCTAAACTACATAACAAGACCATCTCAAAACATACACACATGCCCACATGCATGCATGCACAGAGCCAAAGCCAAGATCTATGTGCTAGGTGTTCAATGAAACTGAGGAGCTACTGCTTCTAGATATTCTCTATAGAAAATATGCATGTGGTATGTGTGTGTGTGCATAAAAACATGACTTTATATCCCCTTCCCATGTAAATCCTTTCCTTGCTATGTCTATACCTTTCTTGTTGTTTGCCTTTGGAACCTAACCTAGTATGGATGTACCCGTCCTAGATTCCCCAACATGCAGATATTTAACTTGATAGGATCTGTGATTATTACATGGATCTCCCATCTGTGGGAAACCCTTCCTCACCTTGCTCTTGCAAGGCACAGGTAAATTCTTTTTTTTTTGGCAGCATCTTGCTATGTAGTTCAGATTGGCCTTGATGCCTTGATTTTGCTTCATAGCCTAACTGGCATTAAACTCTCAGTAATCATCCTGCCTCAGCTTCCCAAGTGCTAGGATGAGATGTAGACCATCATGCCCTTTCACTTCGGCTTTTTGAGACTGGGTCTCACTATCTAGCCCAGTCTGGCCTTAAACTTGCAGTGATCCTCTTGCCTTAATCTCTCAAGTGCTGAGATTACAGCTGTGTGCCATCATGCTGGCTGATACAGGTAAATTCTTTTTTTTTTTTTTTTTTTTTGCCGGCTCAGCCTGCCCTAAGGGTGGGGCTGGCACGGTATGTGGTGCCTGGGATCAAACTGCAGTCCCCTGTGCCTGCCTAAGCTTGCCTATCACTGAGCTATCTCCCCGGCAGACACAGGTAAATCCTAAAGTGAGAAGTGAGATAAGAGGCAACTTCAGAATTTTCATTGCTAAGACTTCCCTTTTATAATTCTCTCCCTTCTCCAAGCCCCACTTATGAGCCACCCTTTCTCTCAGAATTGGGTAGTCATGGTGTTCTCCTTCTTCTTCTGATACTGGGGATTGAACTCATAACCTTGTACTTGCCAGGCAGGTGCTTAGGTCTCTAAGCTGTCTCCCCAGCCCATGGTGTTCTTTTTAAAAACAAAAAATAGCTTTTAGTGAGGAATTTATTTTAAAAACCTTTAAAAAAAATCTTTAAAAATTATAAAGATAAAGAGCTGGCTCCCATTTGGCCACATGCCTCTAGTCCTATTCTTTTTTTTTTTTTTT